CCCGCCCCCCTGCCCCCCTCGCGTTTTGTGGGGGAAAAAGCATGCCCAAAATTCACCCCCCGACCCCGCCGTGGCGGGGAAGCTGCCCCCGGCCCCCCCCGGGCCTGCGCTTTGACGACGCTGTGGGCAACAAGCAGCTGGCTCCAGCCTCTCCAAAACCGGGCGTACCGGCGGCTGGACAAAATACTGCTGCCAAACCGCATCGCCTTGCATGTCTCGGGTAACTCCGTGTTCCTGTACTGCTTCACGTTCACCAAACCGGCCAGGCGCTACAACAGAATCGCACCTTGCGCGATTCCCCTGGGCGTCTTCCCTTCCTCTGCCACGTCCTGATGACCAGGTTTCAAAGCACAACAATCAGGAACAACTAATCTCAGTGCTTATAACTACCTATTTGCGGAGGATGGTGCAAATCTCCTGAGATCACTTTCAGGTTGCCAAGTCTCTTATACTCCCCCTCGGGAGCCTTATGTTAGCTTACAAAGGTATCAACAAGTAGTAATGCCTCCCAATTAGAATTATTACATCCTTTTACGCAGGAGCCTAGGTAAAGAAGTCTTGAGTGCTGGGTCTTTTTAAGAAAAATGAGTTCTCATTAAGATATGAGAGCCTGTGTATTTAAAAGATTAAAATGTCTTAAAGCTGCCTGAACAGAAACTTTTCACGGAGCAAAATGAGTTACAGCGGGCGCAGCTACTGGAAAGCTTCTCCTGTATCAAAAGGGGCCACTGAGCTTTATAAAATAAAGATTCACCATGCTACCTCGCTTTTATCTTTGTTCTTTAGTTATAATTATTCTGATCCAGTTAAAGTTACTGTGGTTAATTAGAAAGGCATGTCTGGTTTATTGGCTTGCAGGAGATGTAATGCCACTAAAGCACAGAAATAAATGCTATTTGCAGTGAGGCAACGTGCCTCAGTTGAGGTAGCCCAACCGGTTGGCATAAACCAGCTTAGCCTTCCAGCATAGCGGCAACATTAAGTTTCCAGTAAGAGTGGAAATAATATCCTATTTCTTTCCCTTTTGCAACATCAGTGACACTCTATTGCTTATCATTGCAAGCAGTGCCTTGACGTAACACACTTGTCTTCCTCTTTGTCCCAGCTGTTCTCTCCTGCAGAATTTTCCTTCTTCCAGGTGTGGTGGTGAAATTATTAATATTTAAGATTTGAGAGGGCTGGCTAAGAAGTTTATCCTCACTAAAAGAACATTCCTTTCAACTAAAAGCTAACAGTCTGTGGTTGTTGCCAACTCCCCACTTCTGAGCTAAGGTAACACCGGGCGTGCCGCTCCCATAGGCTCCACCAAGAGCCATCCCTCCGTGGTGTCACCTTATTTACAGTTTGATTCCTCCTCAGAATTGTGGCAGTTAGCAAGCTACTTAAGGAGTCCATCCCTCCCAGGACAGACACCTGGCTTTGTTAACATCGAAATGATTGTTTTTCCTCACCTTTTTCTTTTCTGAAACACTATATAGGCTGGGTCTCTGCGATGAATTGGCAGAGAACAGGGGAGCAGAGAGGGAGGTGCTGCCCAAATGTTCTCTCACTATGATCATAGTTAATAACGCCTCTGTCCTAAATTGTACTTGCATTATTACACACTTAGAGCCCCCAGATCTACAACACAGGTTAATAATCACAGGATCTCTTTATCAAAAAGGTCCTCATTAATAAAATCATAATATGCACCTAACGTTTATAAAACACACAGCCTTAATTAGAAATCTTTTAATTTACACTAAACAATAATAGAAAATTATTGAAGCTGTAAAAATCCACTATCCTGATCACACCATTAAAAAAAAAAAAAAAAACAACCCTGCAGAAATTGATGCCGCCCATCACTAAGCCTTCCAAGAGTCAAGAACACAAGTTTCTCCATCTCTTTTAGAAGTTCACAAAAAAAAAAAAAAATCACATCTACGTTTCTGCTAAAAACCAGAAACATGCTGAAAATTCCCAAATTGGGGAGAGAGATTTGGAAGAAACAGATACTTCAGCCACTGCGAAGAGGCTTTTCAGGTTCTTTGGCTCTCACAGTACAGGCGTCCTTACCAACACACACGTGGAACAAACCAAGATGACAATGAACGCAGCTGTGTGTGACACAGCACTGGGGTACCCTGCATCCACAGCTCCCCTGACTCTGCCGGGAGCTGGATTGGTCCAGCGGGCTGAGAAGCAGTCAAAGTTCCCAGGTTTTTCTGTTCAGATACAGGGGTTGAGGGTTAATACTGGAAGCTGCGTTTAGTCTGAATGTCATCAAGAATCTGCTGTAATTCTTCATCTTCAAATCGGCCCTCCAGGCTGCAAGATAAGAACGATGAGGGCACATTAAAGGTTTTAGAAATAATCTCCCCCCGGATTCATTTCAGACAGCCATAATTCTCTCCTGTCAGTCTCAATACCATCATTACCCACCTGTATGGTACCACCAGGAACCGTCTGTAACATTACTGTGCAAATACCACTCTAATCCCTGTGCGGTGCCTCCTCTTTAAATGACAAAACTCCACCCTTCCCAGAACTTTCTGCTGAATAATTTCAAAACATCTTATCAAAAAGGCAAGGCAGGTGCGGGTTTAAATAGCTGGCTCCTAAGCCAGTCCAGTCTTGCTACGAAATCTTAGCATACAAGGAAGAAACTGTAATTCGGATGAGTGTTTCGCTCTCTATCTCAGGCCATGAAGTATAATCAAGGTACAATAACAGAATTTACTGCTCCCCTGTGCATTATCCACAAAACAGTTCATAGGAGCAATGTCATTTGCTCCAACAGAAAACAAACAAACAAACAAACAAAAAACACCACCAAAAAAACCCAAACACAGCTGGGTGGGCTAAGAACCCCAATCTAAGCTGTTTACACTTAATCTAGTAAATGTTGTTGGAATTGCATTAGGACACTTGCAAAGATTGCCTCACTGTCAGATCAATGGGTAGGTAAAGAAAGGCTGAGACCAAAAGTTTTTCTATCAACACAGCTAGACTGAAGAGAGGACATCTGCCCATAGCTGGCTTTAGATCAGAGGAAAGTATAAAGCGATCCTTTTACAATATATAAATGCTCACCTAGGAATCAAAGCTTTCGCTTCCTCAGCTGTCTCAGGACACAAGTTAGCCAAACACGCCAGTTCAAATTTATGGAGCTTTTTCTGGAGCAGCAAACTGCAAGGAAAGACAGAAACTTGGTGAAATTACAAGTAAGCTAGGAATATAAAAGGGCATAAACCTAACCAAACAGATATCTTTTTTTCACTCTGCTTTTGGCACTGAAGTCAATGTTTTTTCAGGAGGAAAGATTCCTTATATAGCTGCATAGAGAAAAAAAGTCACATCTATTAACTCCGCTTCCCCAGAATTACTCTACAAAGTCTAGAAAATCCTCCCATTTACTGCAATCAGCTGTCACTTAAATACTGAAAACAAAGCTGTTCAGAAGGCTTGACCTTCTGAAGGTCTGTAGACAAAGTACAACCTTCCATGAAGAATTATGATAAAGCTTCTTGCCTCTTCAGAAAGAAAAGATTCAGAATTACAGGACAAATCAGGAAACGCCACTAAACTGTACTTTCATAAAGCAACATCAATATTACACACCAAATTCTCCAGTATAGTCTTACACCCTAACTTTTCCACTCACCTACGGACACTGGCAATGGTTTCACGGTTTTTGAAGCGGCTGAAGCGCGCTGTGTAGTTCAAGGTTTTCATGAAGACTTCTGAAAGCTCCTGCTCATCTTCTGCGCTCTCATTCTGTTGCTTACGATGCTCGAGAAGCATATGTACTTCTGAATTTAGAAGAGTTTCCGCAGTTTCAAATTCTACATTTGAATGAGTGAACGTGAGCATAAAAAAGGTAAAGCATGGATGAAAAAGTCCACTTGCAGAAGTTTTCTATGTAAATTTAGCTTTGGGCAGTAAGGAAATGAACAATGTGTTTCACTGTAATTGTGCAAGCCCTTTCACCAATGATTTTCATACTGAAAATGCTGATAAAAATTACACCATTTTGAGTGACAATCCAATGTGGTTGTCTTTTTGACCATACATTTTACACTTGAAGCCCTAACTTTCTGCTTTATCACATTTTTGCAAAATGTTTTTTTCATCCATTTTTTGGCAGAACTTAAGTAATGTATGACTTGTTTTATAAAAAAATATTTAGAACTGTAATATTCAAAAAATTCAAAAGTGATGTCTCTGGTCTTTGGAAGCCTCTGAGTAGTTCTTAAAGTAAATGTGGATGCTGCTGAATATTTTAAAAAAGGCTTCATTTACTTGAAAGATTAATTGACCCACTTTATTATTATCAGAAAAAAAGTTTTAACCAATCTTAAGAGATTTTTTCCCCCTTTTTAGCCATCTCTCCTTGTTTTTGTTCATCATCATCGCCGTATTTATTCCAAGAACAAGAAGGTCTTTCAACTTCATCAGTATGAGCTGTTCGAAGCAGCAGGATCAGAGATGGCATCCCGGGGTGCCCTTCAGCGCTGTTTAATAAAAGCAGTCAGCTACAGGGCAGTGCTGGAAAGGGACTGGCAACCTTTATTTTGCCTGGAGCGGCAAAGTAACTTGGGATGAACATGGGTAGGCTATAGATTTTAGCGTAAAAACATCCAAAACCCAGTCTTTCAGGACTATGCCTTTTGTTTAAAAATGCAGCACGATCCTCCCCCCGCCCCGTTTTTTTCCCTTTCCTCTTCCAGGGCAGCTCTGAGGAATTAATACAGCTCTGGAATTTATACTGAACATTTTTCTGAAAAAAATACACAGACTGTTAGCATCCCTAGTTACAACTCAGGCTCTGGACAGCTGGTTTCCAAAAATGCTGCACTACCCTACTGTCAAGAAATATCGATTAAAAAGTAACGGCTACATCAAAACCTAAGAACCCTCTTGCTATAACCTCATAGGAAGAAGAGTTTTTTATTCCTGTACAGACGTGTAGTGCTCCACATAAGGAAGCACGGCCATATTTTAGCAATCATGGCCCCTTCAACGCACACATGATTTATTATCCCCACGTTTAACGCCTGGGGCTGTGTAGCTGGTGTATCTGTGGCTGCTGGGGTGGTCCGGCGGCGGAGCAGCGCTGCGGGCC